TATATATATATTTATATTTTTGTCGATCATCTGATGGGGTTTTTTTCTCCACAGGGGCTTCTGTTACTTTAACTCAGTTGCTATAGCAGCAAGATTACTTAGGTTACGAATGTCAGTGGAAAAGGTCCTCGTCATTGACTGGGTATGTCGCAAGTGATTTCAGTTAATGTGCTCCACATAGCTTAAAGTTCATCCCTCAGGGATCGTGGTTTTTATAGCTTGGTGTTATGTGTCCTAAATATTGTGTTATAGATGGGAAGCAGACATGCAATATTGATTTAGAAATAGTGACTGTATACATTTTGGGAAAGGACTACACGCTGTTTGATTAGAAGGAAGTTTCGCAGTAGTTGATAGAGATTTGTTTTCGTAGGACATTCACCATGGCAACGGCACACAACAAATGTTTTATGATGACCCGCATGTGCTGTATATATCCATGCATCGTCATGACGACGGAACGTTTTTCCCCGGCACCGGAAAACCTGAGGAGGTAAAACAGTGCGAGCTGTTGAAACTCATTTAATTTTTTTAACAATTATATTCTTTAAACCAACAAACGATACAAGGGAAAAGCCATGCAAACAGGCAAAAAACAAACAAAACCCCAGCCAAATCTAAGCTGACTTCAAGGCCAGTGGTGGCAAAAAATCAATCTAGAATACTGATCCAATCTTTCCATTTCTAAATTCAGTGCGGGGCTGGTGTTGGCGTTGGTTATAATGTGAACATTGCTTGGAATGGTGGTTTAGGTAAGAACCATTTTGCACGATATTGGCACCTGTAGAAGCGAAAGCTTTTGCCAGGCAGAATCCGAAAACATTTCGTCCCAACGATTTTCTCTAAATCTACACGCACATGTTCAACCTCGTGTCCCCAGTCTGTGTTCGTGGATGTTAACCAAATGCAATCTGTAAAAAGAAATTTATGCCTGCACTGTTATTTTTATAACATATAAATAAATTCCTGAACATAGGCAAGGCTATTTTAAATCTGGTGTCGTCTGTTCTCTACCAACCACTGTTTTTATTCAAATCCTCCAACAATACTCTTTCCGTCTTTTTTTCCAACAGGTCATTTTCTAATATAAACTATCCTTATCTTTCACAGAACCCATGTTTGGAGACACAGAATATCTAGCAGCGTTCAGGTAAGTCTTCCAACGCTAAATACGTCGACATAAACGCATGTAGGTACATGATGCATCCACTGAGTTATTGGTAATATTTCTGTCAAAGTACACGCCTGCGCAACTTTGGTCTAAGGTGTGTGCATGACTAGGTCACAGGTCACCGAGCATATACTGTGTGGCTTTCGAATGTGTAGGTTATGTGGGAATGTATCTGGGATTAGGTAGCTACCACACATGCATCAAAGAAACGATAACAAAATTGTTTCTTAGGATGTGTTCGTGGCCATAAACACATAGAATATTTATGGTAGATCAGTCTTAAGATCTTCTGGATAATATGTCTATCTAAATCTCTAGGACCGTGGTTATGCCTTTAGCAAGAGAATTTGCACCCGACATTGTTCTGGTTTCCGCTGGCTTTGATGCTGCTGGGGGTCATTCCCCTCAACTCGGGGGCTACGAAGTTTCAGCAGCATGTGAGTGAATCTTTGTGCATATGATTTAGGATGCAAAGAGCACAGGCTATTGGATCGTGTGTGAAAATGTTGTGGTTTTTAGATTCAATTGTGTTGCATGCAGAAACCCCACTGTACTTGGTATTTATTCAAAAGCTTCTTGGAAAGAGTTGCTCCATTTTTCACCAATTTAACACATATTTTCATAAACTCATGTTCACTTACAGGTTTTGCAAATATGACACGGCAGTTAATGGATGTCGCTGATGGCCAAATTGTTTTGGCCTTAGAAGGAGGGTAAGTCAAGGGGCTGCTCATTGCTATATGGCAAGGGGGGGGGTGCTGAAGAAAAAATGTGTGGATAAACAGACTTCTAAATGTGATAAAGAATCGATTTAACAACGGTAGTTTTTAGTACCTCCAAAGTCGTTCATAAAGCAAATATTTGTTAGAATAAACATCACAGAGATACTTTCACCTGATGCATAAACCATATTACGAATATTCTCGGTTATCCATATGCACTGATTCTTTGAATACCATTTTTCTAGATATTCCTTACCAACGTTGTGTGACTCTGCTGAGGCTTGTATGAGAGCACTGCTCGGAGACGAGGTATAACTGCTTATTTGTACAATAAACTGATATATAATAAATTTATAAATTTATATACAATATTCATATAATAAAAAGAATATTATATGGTTGCTTGGAATTATGGATTTATCTCTCGTGTTGAAGAGAATAATCGAAATAAATTCCACATTTCTGCGCAAGCATATAATCAGTGGCGTAGCCAGCCTGACGATTTAGTCATGCTATGCAAATTTTTCATTATTATCATTATTCATTTCTTTAGAATTCATTGTTTTCACAGTCCATTGACACCAAAATATTAGCATATCATGACTAAATTGTCGGGCTGGCTACGCCACTGCATATAATATTCTCTATATGTGTGATAGACACTTCAAGAGTTCTATTATTAGCCAATTTTCAAGCGTGGTCACAAAACTTTTACATGCAATTTAAACTATTCCTACTGGTTTTAATTGTGTAATATTTTACTTTTCGGAACAGTTACCTCAACTTGCAGAAGAACACTTACGCAATCGTCCAAACCGAAACGCCATCCAGTCTTTAGAGAGAGTTTTAGCTGTACATTGCAAGTACTGGACGTCGTTAAAACGTACGCAGAACCAAGTGCAATATTCCATACTCGAGGCGAAAATAAGGGAAAAAGAAGAGGCAGAAACAGTTTCGGCACTGACATCTCTATCTTTGCAAGTCGGCGAAGGAGGTGTAAAGTAAGTATGCGTGTTGTCTTGGAATAATAACTAGGATTTTTAATGCAATCATGGACAGAACCTGTTAATAATACTGTTGTAATGTACAATTTTGGTTCTGTTTAGATAGATTAACCATGCAATATCCCCGTTCCCTGACAATGTCGTGTCTAGTTACTAAGTCCAACGCGACAAGCAATAATTTGGTGATTGTTTAAAATAAATCAAAAAAATCTTTTTAGATTTTGACTTTTTTAACCGTTTTGTGTAAGGTGGAAAGAAGCAATGTACTTTTAAAGCCAGTTAGAGGAAAAATGTTGCTTCTAGCTATGGAACCCGTTTTCACGATTAATTTATTTGCCTCGCACCAAAAGGTTATTTTGTGTAAGGGTGGAAAGAAGCAATGTACTTTTAAAGCCAGTTAGAGGAAGAATGTTGCTTCTAGCTATGGAACCCGTTTTCACTATTTATATATTTGCCTCGCACCAAAAGGTTATTGCAAATGGTAAAACATTCGTTGCGAATAGCATTTTCGCTAACCGTTTTTTATGACGGTGATGACGTATATTGCGCAGCAACGATGACGTAACTTGCAATCGTTATTGCCATTCGACTTTCCCTACAATCATAAAACGTTTCATTTTTGTTCTTCCACCACTAGAAATTCTGACGTGACAATGGAAGAAATGGAGGCGTGAAAGGATAACTGCATGGATAGCTTAATCGCGTCCGCGTTGTCGTTTCCTTTCTGGCTTCCTCGGGTCTGCAAGGAGTGCTCTTTCAACGGCACATCTTCTAAAACACGTTGATTGCCCCTAAAATGTCCCCATGCAATGAGGATCCTCCTGTCATATCCATTTTAAATTCTGAATCTTCCTCACGAGCTCAAGGAAATCGACTAGAGAGCACTTCAAAAGCTGTAAAAAGTTTACAACATTATTTAAAGAAATATCATTCAACGAAAAATGTTTGATTGGCGATGCCTATAAGTTGCCAGTTCTATCCGAAAATGCAGTATTCGTCGTTATAACAAGCACACATAGTATATAAGTTTATGCTCATCATTACCCCGTGTATATATGCTCAAGTGTATGAAAAAAGGTAATCCAACTTGCTGCCACGCATAACATCCTGAATTTTTACTGGCTCGTACACTCAAATTTGTTTTGTTTGCGTTTCGTTTTGCTCAGTTTTTCAATAGTTTCTATATCCGACTTTCGTATCCAATTTTTCCTGTTATGAAATAAGAATAGAATCATTGGAAGTATTCGACGTTCTTGTGGTTCAATATTTAAATTGTAAGACGCCATTTATATATTAAGTACGACAGTCCGTTAAAATTTGATTACCTTTCTTCAGTCAACCTGTAAAAGCGGGTGCTTATATTTGGCCAAGGGCGGATTTCTATTTGCAGAGAAACAGTTCGCTCTGACACTTTTCTAGAAGAATCAGAAGCCGCCCAGTCGAAGAAACCCAAATATTCAGTCGAAATTAAGAAGAAAACATGCCAATTTTTTCCCTGCATGTGGAAATCCACCCTGTAGAAATTCTGAAAACAATCCACTATATAATGTAATAAATTTAAGTGGTATGTCGAAAAGTTATTTTTGTCTCGTTCAAAGTAACACTTTTTTACCTTTCCAACCTTTTAATATATTTGTTGTTCGCAATTTCAGTTGCTACGCAAATATAGCTAGTGTATTTTATTAGCCGAAAGTTTTAGAAACACTTTTATAGGGCAAAAATAATAATCGCTACCCAGTACATCCTTTAACAACCTCTGTGATAAAAAGAAAAATTTAATCACTTTGTGAAAAAATATAAGAGTTCACGTGATTGCAAACAAAGAACTTGCGAGCAAAAACCTATGCTATCCGTCATCCTGTTTATAATAAGATGAGAGATATGTCTTTCGCAGTGGACTTAGTGGTCCCTCGTGCTTTTAGGCCACGCGGTTTTACTCGTCCTAATGGCTGGCGAATGTTTTTGTTCAAAAAAATTTTGAAAAGATTGGTAAAGTTAATACAAATGTGAAAAAAATAGTTCTTTCGAAAAGGACAAAAATATTTTTCAACACCATATATCCTCTTAGCTCTATAAATACGATATTAAATAGTCGTTGTTGATAAATGCTAAAACGGCATCTGTGTAGCTCGAAAGGCGCATGCGTCTTATTTATCTTCTTTATTCTTATATGCGGGGTAATGTGGTGCATATCGCTGATTGTTTGATATATTTCATACAACGTTAAAATTACAGATAATTTTCAATAAATATATTGGTAGTATGTACACATGTAAAGCGCTTGGGCCGAAAGCCCATTTCTACGGATTTTCCATTGTTATATATCTATTGCCTGCAAGAATTAGGTTGGCACAGTCTAAGCCAATAATGGACAATGGTAACTATTAGACGCGTAGCTGTAAATAATGTTAGAGGTTGCACTTGAAGTTATTTTTAGGCCATAATAGTAATACTAGTGCGGCTAACTTTCTCAAACAGAATACTAGGTAGATTTTAATTTTAGCTTATAATTATGTAAAATACAAATATAAAGAAATTATAAAACTAATGACTGTTGTGGTCTATATAGTTGTCGCTCTGTCGCGCATACAACAAAAGCTGTTTTACGGCTCTATAGCCCTATATAGCAAAAGCTGCGACAACGCGACAGAAAAATCCGGTGAAACTGGCGTATTACTGTTGGTCTACAGTTTTAATGTTCTTTTGTAACAGTTTCAATCAAACAGTCAGTCGCGAGACTTCATCGGCCTGTCTCTCGGTTGCGTTCCTTGAATTAACGGGCGCATTTACCAATGGTTCGTCATCAGATGAGACCACGGCACGATATCTAGGACGAATTGCCCTACGAAAAAAGTGATGCTTAAGTCTGGGAAATAAGAAGATAACGAGCAACGCAAACGGTATCAATGCCAGAAACCAATCTTGGAGATCTTGCACCTCCTTGATACTGTGCGGGACAAGTTGTCCCGAGTTGTTGTACGTCGCTTCTGAGATGCTGAGACCCGAAATCAACACGATCACAGCCAACGATATAGTGTCAAGCTTGTTCACCATGTCGTTCTTGAACGGCTGAACGAACACGTGGGCGAGCAGAAAGACAACAGACAGTATAAAGAACAAGTAGGCACGTAGGAGAAACGATTTCACAAAGATAAAGGTGACGACAAGCACGAAACGGCGGAAAATCGAGAAGGCTTCCCAATTTTCGCTGCAATGTTCGGCCATCGTGGCGTTTGGAAACTTGCGGGATCTGTAGGGATACCTTAAGATGTATATTACATTTTCTTTGAAGGGGTTATCCGCCGTCTCCGGAATTTTGCGCCAGAATTTATCAGCACTGCGATGTTTCAGGTATCGATAAAACCAGTAACAAAGGAAGAAGAAAGGAAAGAAACAAGACAGCATGAACTCTTTCCACGAAATTAGTCTGTGGATGAGTAACGACTGACCAACCAGCAGCGAAAACGAAAAAAACACGATGTACAACAGAAAGTACAGCCATACAGCAGCCTGCAACGGTTGGTAGCACTGAACCGAACCATCAATGTAAAGAACACTTTTATCACCGACAGTGACACAATTCAAGAGTTGCACAGCGAATTGTGTTTGGGAAACATAGGAAAGAAGTAGTACATGCATAACCGTACCTATCAGTCGTACGGGGAGCGACTTGGAATCAAAGCTTAGCGCATCATTGCTGTAGCCTTTTGTGCGACACTTCACAAACCTGTAGAAGCAATATGTTAACAACGAAAGCCCCATCACCCAAAAGGCAACGCTGTTTTTCACGAAAACCTTTTTAACCGGCCTTAAGTCTTCGCTGGCGCACTTCCAAACGTTGGTAAACTGAAAGTTGAGCAAAGGTGTAAAAAACTCGAGCATTGAATTTGGAAAGGAAGAGCTGGAGACGTAAGAAGAAAGACGGATAAGAAGAACTGTCTGGTAGAAGTAGAAGAAAACTTTTATATAACCGCCACTGTTGTTGTAATCTGTGCTTTCTTCGAGACGTTTGTAGTTTAGCTGGGCTGCACTTTCGTGTGATAAATTTTCGAGGTTGTCTAATTGAAAACTGTCAGGTGATTCAGTATCCATTTGGTTTTGGTTCCATTCCCCTTTTCTGTATTCGACAGATTCGAAATCTTCATGTTCATCATCTTGGACATTCCAGAGTGACCATTTTACCAATCTCTTTATGATCTATATATAAGAGGTAAAGCGAAAACAAAATAAAATATATACTCATCGAATTATTTAACCACGAAAAGCTATCAATAGATGATAAATATATTGCTCTGCTATTCGCTCACGCACACTTATAAGGCATAGTAAATACGTTGCATTTTGGTCGCGTCGAATTCAGTTCAAACAATAGATAATGAGATGGTGATGAAGCTAAATAAGGTTTATCATCTCATCATCTATTGTTTGAATTGCATTCGACGCGACCAAAATGCAACGTATGAAGTGGGCCTAAGATTTCTGCTGCGAATAGTACTAGACAAAATCAAACAAAAATCAGCGCCGCAGGCGTGATCTGTCTTTCGAGCAGTGCGGCGCGCTATTATCTTTACCTCTTGATGATAACAAAAAATGACGAAAATTACAATTACGTTGAACATTGGCCACATCCACGAAGCACCGTTACATCTCTCATTCGGAAAACATTGTGCTGAACTCAATCCCTCCGTGAATCCCTCCGAACAATATCCACACAACCTTCCAGTCCTGTGCCCGCGACAGGAATCGTAGCTTTCACATGGTTCTCGATCGCAGCAATAACCCTTCGGGCACGGGATCATCTCGATTTTATCTCTTCGCGTCACTCCCCAGAAATTTGCCCTTGCGCGGATTGTCCCGTTACACGAGGCACCGTACGGGCAAGCACGACATTTTCCGCACGTTGCTGTACCGTTCGCCAACCACGAACCACGCGAAGTGCTGTAGAACAAATCTGAACACGGCTTACATGAGAATGCAAATACATGATACGATGGAATGTAATCTGGCTTGGTTCGTTTTGTTGCCAGCGTATATTTCAATTCGTCATAATTGTATCCTTGTGGGCAGATAAAATTACTCGTATTGTCCATGCGCAACGTGCTTGGCCTGCCTTCGTAAAGAAAGATTGGTTTCCCAGAATTCGCAGAACTTAAGTCGAATATCACACGGTCCCTAAAAGTGGTCTGAACATCGTTAAGATACATCACATTGCCTTTAATGCTACTCCAAGAACGGCGCATTCTGAAAAGCTGAATCCGTTACTCGAATGGATGTCACATTTCTGTTAGAAAGGTATAACGTTCCTCCAGATTTTGCAGCCGTATTGCCAATAAATTTGCACTTTGTGATGGCGAATTTGCCACCTAGAGCAAATAATGCCCCTCCACTACCAGTCTCCATAACTTTGTCTTGTGCTTTGTTATCCTTGAAGGTGCAGTCGAGAAATAGCACAGATTTCTTCCCCCAATCTGAAAACCAAACAGCGCCACCACTCGAAGCTGCATTACCGGTGAAAGAACACCCTTGAAATTTGACACTATGCTTGATCGTTTTCGTAAGTTTATTTGTAAGATTAAACGAGGCAGCGCCACCAACACCACGCAACGCTTTGTTGTTCACAAATGATACGTTGGAAAAGTATATGTTTATCGGCGAAGCGTATCCTTTCTTCGATTTCTTAAAGCCCGTTATATTGATCATACCACTTCTCTGTCCAAAGTGATTAAGAAACGCCGATGATGTGATGGTTATCGAAGTTTTTTCCAATGCTGTCACTATGTCCACCGGGGAGAGAGATGAGGTTCCTTTAGAAGAATCAGTTGCTCGACTACTCATATCAAATGTGACTCCATTCATACTTATTTTTAAAATGGAACTTTTTATGGTCGATAAAACTTTGAAGTATTTTCCACGGATTTTAGTGTTTACCAACGACAGCGTGGTTCTGTTGCAGCCTTCTATTTCAATCGCATTCCCGGAACGGCCAAATGTATGTACATTTGTCATTACCAAAAAACAAAGGGGCGAGTCACTCCACGTCACATCGACTTTGTTGTTGGTGAATGTTATATTCTCCAAGCGCAAGTTAACAACACTTGTTTTACTCAGGAACTTGAACCCTGCTCTCGAATTTTGTAAATCGAGGTTCGAGACATCAAGTTTTATTGAAGATGGTTGTTCTTTCTCCACATCGAAATTAAATACAAAAGCATCCCTGCCACCACAGTCTATGACCGGACTTCCGTAGAGCCCTTTGAAAGCGAAAGGCTTGTTTACTTGTATCGGACAATCTTGGTATTTGCTCCCGGTAGATATGATGGTTATCTGAGACAAACCTTTTTTCTCAATCTTCAAAGCAGCGTTGATTGTACGACAGGGATCTTCCTCACTCGTACCACAATCCTCATCTTTCGTTGCTCTGTTAGAAACATATATATTTGCTGACCAAGTGGCTAAAATGAAAGAAGAAATAATGAATGTTAAACATTATGCGATTACGAAAGTTTCTGTGAAAGACTGGGATTATATCAATCAGTTAGATCGAACAATTTTCAGTAAATGATTAAGTCCGTCAACTAAGGTCTATGTTAAGACAGATTTGAGCATATCTCATATTTTACCACGTGTAAACAAAATAGTTTTCTTAAAAGTCCTTTTTGGGAATTTTAAGTTTAACCATACTTTTCAACCTCTAGGAGATAATTGATTTTTCTAACTAACTGTTATCTTGTGACATGTGTTTGAAATTTTCACTATACTTACGACCAAATAAGTGACGGGATAATTTAACTATACTAAATTCTGCTGATTGGTCTGTGACCTTTGTTTTCTACCTTGTTGGAGCATGTTTATAACAACTAAGACATGAAGTAATGTCGCCATTGGAGGCAGAGCCATTCGAGTGCCCAACCTACAAAAGGTTATCAATTTAATCAGAATCACGTTAAAAAAAACAAACGCTGTCGAACCCGGGTTGTTTACATTAGTGTTAACCCGGGTTCGACCCAGGGCGAACCCACCTTCAAAGCAGGGTTCAAAATAACCTGGGTTAAGTGTGCTTACACTTTTAAAAAACTACCCAGATTTGCGTTAATTTCCGTAGTGTAAACGGGGCTATACTGTATTTCATCTTCTTGACCGACCGAAATGAATGCCAATTGACCGTAACAAAAAAGATGGCGGCATGCATATTTTACCAGAATGCATTGCGGGCATTAAGAATGATTGACTTTCTGTTTTATGCCTGTCCTTTAAAAGACGTCAGTTCGCTTTTTTAAACGATTTCCGACCGCAATGCATTCTGGTAAATGTACATCCGCCATCTTTTCTAATTAGCATATAATTAAGGCTTCCTTCTGTATATGTCTGGGATTATATGAAGCATCACGGCTTAAAATGTTCAATGAAACACAAAACGTTTGGCGGCTGACAATGCAGCTGTGGATAAACAGAAAGAACCGACCAAGGATAATTTTTTCAATGTTTTAAAATCGCGCGATCGAGTTCAGTTTTTTTCTACAAAGACAAAATTCCAGTATTGCAAGTCTGCGTGGCATTTAAGTGGAATGCCCGGCCCTTCGCCATGAATGTACATAAACGAGCAATATATGACAGAGTATATATTATTATGTATTCGGTATTCCTATACATGCTTTATAAAGTAAATTTTCGATATTAAACCAATGGAAATGGTGTGAATGTGAAATTAGACCAAATTTAATTCGTGATAACTACGTAAAATATATCTGAACACGTATCTAATAATTCTTAGTGATTTCATAAAGATTTACCTAGGTTTTTAGAGCCAGTTTGTTTATTTCATTTGCGTTCAGTTTAGTCACCAAGAGACAAGACCAATTGCCAGTATGTGAACTTTCAGATTTAGGAGCTCAGTTCACAGACTCAGCCTCTTTGAAAACACGAATACTTTGTCCAGCTCGAGTTTCGCTTTTTTTCTGGCAAATCTTTGGCGTCAGGCAAGTATTTTCTTCTCAGCATTCAGATGTATTGCATGTTTGTTGCGATTTAATGCCCTGTGCACAATTCCACAACCGGTTGAACATTTCTTGGTAAAACTTTGTGTACTTCTTAGAAAAATTCAGTCACGTGTGAAATTTGATATATATTTCTGACACGTATAAGTACCCAATTCATACACACTCTGTCCCCGAATATTTAGTTGAAGGTCTAAAGTGCGAACTTCCACGATGATAAATAATTCTCTATAAGTTATAACTGTGAACTGTGCTTTAAATATTTAGTTTACTCAATTTTTAGCTGAATAATATTAAAATGGCTGAACTGTATAACAATATCAGGCTATAAGTATGATTTAGCATAAACATCAGCAGCTGTGTGAGTGGGCGTTTAGTCAGCTCGTCAGCTATATTGTTTGACAAGTGAACCGAAAAGTATATTTGAAGCATTTGGTTTATTACTTTACATTATTGCATAGTTTAATAAGCTGGCAAAGCCTACCTCTTATTGAGGGATTTGAACCTTTGTATCTGTTTTAAACCGCTGCAAACAATGACGGATTACCATGCATGCAGTTATGGCCGGGGCCAAAGCGTGTCACTCTAACGAAAAATTTTGGCCGTTGAATCCTATGACAGCCTATGAAGTGATATAATGCCATGTTAAATGTATTTTTCGCCAATATAACGAGGTAGCAACGTGGCAGCATCTACAAAAAAAATGACATAAAAACTTGAGGTTGTTGAATGTTTCGACCTTCTCACGAATGAAAGTGACTCTCCTAACCAGGGCTTCCACAACTTATTTGCACATGACTGTCCTCATAGCGGGATAGCAATGACAAAAGAGGGAAACAAAGATTTTTTGAAAGGAAATAATATATAAAGAAATAATATATCCTATTTACCCAGATCCCTTCATCCCCGTGCATGGTTGTCATTTGGAAGAAAATTTGGTTCAACAAGAAACCTTTATTAGACGTGTAAATGTATGTGGTGGTTTGATAAACTGTTCGCTCACTCTAGAGGCTGGCGGAACGCGTCCCCCAATCCCCCATGCAGGATTGACGCCCTTGACGGGATTGAAATGGGGCTATATAAATATCTAAATCGTTGAAGATTTTAGAAATAGTGCACGAAAACCTGAAAACAATTACTTCGTTTTAAACTATAACAAAACACGAAAGAATTACACTATATCAACACTTGTATAAGAATTTATGGACAAGGTGACCTATACATGCATCAAATACCAGGCGTTTCCTAACGTTAATTTTTTCCACTGATCAGTTAAAGCATGCACACCGAATAATATAACAGACACGTACTGAACACGACTTTCAGATTGATCGATAAATACCGAGATCACACCAGATGTAATCACACCAGAGTCCAGAGCTTGAAATGTGTGTGACTGTGTGGATTGAAGTATTATCCTTGGGACCTCTCTTACTCTTTCTGAAGCATGCTGAAAATGTACTTAATTGGCAAAGCATTCAAAACCAGTCGCTATAATCAATAAACCGAGATAAGGCCGAACCAAACAACAACAAAAATTTACACGTTTAACGAGAATGGAAAGAAAAAACGAGATATGGGGAGAGCCTGCATGAGAAAAACCTTATAAATAATTAACCTTGTTCCTAAGAAAACTTGACGTTATGTTTGCTATGTGACATCATTCGCGTCTCTTCATCTTGCATGTACAATACTAATTCAAACGCTAAACGGCACCTGCACATTTTTGCTATTGATTTTGTCACACAAAAATTGGCTGAAAAAACATATACTAACGACAAATGGTTTCAAACGTGGCTGAAACACCAACGGCATCCAGGAATTTAATATTCGGGATCGTTATTCTGCTGTTCGGATCTACGCAGCGTCTTGCAGCTCTACAAAGTAGGTTTGGTTGAATTAACTTTCTATGGAAATTATAATCATATAACTGTATCATGCATGTTTGTTTTAATGTTTAAACAGAAAAACAAGCCCCGAGTACCAAAAACTACAATAAGATGAATAAGCTCGATGGGAAATCGAAAGTTTAGGACTAGAAATCTTTGCATCTATCTTGAATGTTGCAGATAAGGAGGCGCTTACGTACTTCACAGCGGGACAAGCGATTTCTTGGGGAACTTAATCAACTATTTAGTTAAAAAATTTCTTTGTGTGGTTATGCGAAATTCGTCGATTGTTGAACCTATAGCTTCAGTGCCTTAGGCCGGTTTTCCACTAGCGATAGTTTTCGCGTAGAGTGACATTTTGCTTTTGTCTCAGAGCTGTCAACTGCACCATCGCCACCATGTAGATCGGCTGAAATACGAAACAATAAAATTGATTCGCTTCGCGCGAAAAATATCGCTAGTGGAAAACCGGCTTTAAACCCTGCTAGAAATAATAAATTTTGGCCGTTACTACAACTCTACAAGTGTGAAGCAATAACTTGAAATCGTCTATCATGCGTCAATTGGAGTCAAACAATCATGCAGATATACATGCAATATACATGCAAGAAGAAGTGTATAGCGCATAGTTTTACACTCGCGCCAAGTAGGAATTACTGAACTGCATTTAGGCGGCAACCTTAACGATCTGGTCATGCGAATTCCGTGTGGTTCATGTGTTTATTTCAAGTTTAATGTAGGCATAATTTCACGAAAACGAAGCCATTCTTTCAATATTACTTCATTTGAACAATTAAATTTTCATAACGTTAAAACGTTTATAACTGTGATATACATGCATGCATATTATATATTTTGCTCCCATGCAAGTACTTGGTGTTTTTTAGGTGATAACAGTTCTTGCAAAGTTCTTGAAGCGAAACCGATTAAAGGTGGGTAGTCTAAATCATTTCTTGCAACGTTTCTTCGTCGATCAGACTTCACAGGAACCAATGTGACAGGCATTTGTTTCTAGTATTGTAATATTATGCACAAAAAAAGCAGGATATAATATAAGCAGGTTCCGCAAATGTTTATAAATGTATGAATAGCAAGTCTTTCGTAAAGTGGAATTACCGTGTGTGAGTATTGCACTTCTCCCCAGTGGCGGTGGGTCTAGGGGTGTGCAGAATAAATTACTACAACTTAAATGTAAAAATATTATTTTCAATTCTATAACCAATAGCGTTATTATTAAGGTGTTTTGAATTCAAAATTAAGCTGTGTAATTTATTCTGTATACACGCCCTAGATCCAAAGCCGCTGACTGTCCAGTCTTGCAAGATTTTGATAATGTCGAGTTCCTATAACAAAAAAGGTCTACAGGCTTACAAGTATGGCGAGATTCCGCTCGAAATTAGGGAGATCTCTCCTACCGTTTTATGGGATAATCATGATTTCTATATATTCACGATTATAGCTATAATTGGTAGTGCACCGAAGTGCCTTTACTTCAAACGCACTAACAATTCTGAATTATCAATGAATTTTGAACCTTTAGTGAGGCAACGTTCCTGTTGTTGTTATTGCAGGAAAGCGACCTGCCCTTACGGTTATAGAAAAGTCGTGTGTTTCTCAGATTTGGGAATGTTTTTATAAATGCAACAAAAAGTCATCGTGTCTTTCATTTGGTATTGGAAGAGGCGAATGTCATGGTTCACTGCAATGTCTCCTGTACCCAAAAACAGAATTGGATAGAATGCGTCATAACAAAGACTCCAATCACGATTATTACGTAATGGTGAGTATAAAATGCCCAAGAAATAGTCATCACTTCACTTTCTAATGCTCGAGCTACTATGAGTGGATATTTCGGCAAAATTAGGTTATATTTGGAGTTGTTGGGGGATACAGAGATGGCGTCAACTGCTGTTGAGTTGATAAATTACAACACCCAACTATAATAATCCCCGCCCATTTTGTAGGCAAATCTAGCATCCCCCCACACTGATGTACTCGCTACGGTCCTGTATGTGTACTCGTCATTCAGAATTATTATTGAGTCATCTCAATCAAAATATGACGAGAAATTATTATCGTTATCGCTGGCTATGTAAATGAAGTTTTGTTCAAATGCAAATTTCTTTTATGTTTGTCCGGGAATAAAATATGATGAAACTCCAAAACTAACGCTCTCTTGCAAACGCTTTTCCTTCCCTGCATATCTTGCCGTGGTTTCTAATAGCTATATCTAATTCACATTTATGAGCTGAACATTACACTCAGGCATGATCGTAAAACGAGATACTGATATATTTTGACTTGACCTCGTAATAGGGTCCTCCGACATGCTGTGTCGAACCATGCACGAATAAAAAAGTGTGCCGTGAAGAAGACTGCCAATGTGCTTGTCCTGAGGGTTATTTATCATACCGCTGCATGTGCTCAAAAAGTAAGTATAATAAAATGCTATCCTATTAAAGTGCTATCCTATCACACTCCCTATCAATATTACCCTCTAAATCCGGGGACGCTGGATCAATGTGAATTCAAAGGAGAAATGTTTTTGTGGAAGGACATTTCTGAAGCAGCGCATACTATGGAGAATGTTTGCAAAACATCTGTTGAACTTCGTTTCACCGTATTTCCCTTTTGCAAGATGATTTCGGTGTCTGAGACTTCTTCATCAGACAAGTGCCTATTCTTAAAGGACTGGAAAAAAGGGCAGTCCTTCAAAATGAGGGTCTCCTCTTGCCCCTTGCTGGTAAAAGGTAAAGGAGGAGAGAGTGGTTCCGGCGTCCTGGTCTTGTATCATGCTCGCCGTCTACGGGTTCCTACCACCACATGGTCATACCTGGTCATCACCACCACATATTAGAATAGACTATTTCTTTTGAATAGAAAATTTGGCGAGGATTTTTAGGAAAAACACTCCTGTGATGTTGTCTGATGATATGAAACAGGTTGAAAGTGGGAGCCACACCTTGGGGATTAAAGATGATCAAAGCTTGTGGGCCTTAATTAACGACCAATGGGTTGATCAAAGTGACAAAATGAGGTACATTTCAAATGGAAAAGCTGGAACCTGGGGCATAAGGCCTGATTACAATGTTCTTGTGAGAGATGGTAAATATTGCGTTTATGATTTGTATACTTTTGTTAAAACTACATTTGGCGTAAAATACTATAAACAGCTATATTCATTGATACTGTCATAAAATTATTATTATTGCATTTTATACATGGTGAAATCATCAGTAA